AGCCTTTCTTTTAAAAAATTTTAACAATTTTAAAAAATTTATAAATATTAAAAAGAGCATTTAAAATTTATCAAAAATTTTTTAAATTAAAAAAAGGGAATAATCCCTTTGGGGTTTTTCCTTTTTCAAAAGCTACTTTTAAAAAATTTAAATTTTTTAAACACAATTAATTCACAAAAATGTAAAGGAAAATCCAAAAAACCCTTTTAAAAATTTTAAAAATACATTAATAAAATTTATCAAAAAGGGCCAAACCAATTAATTATTTAAAAAGTATTTTATTTTAAATTTTTGAAACTAACCATAAAAAAACTTTGTAAAAAAAAAAGCACAACAATATTTTTAAGGGGGTGAAAAATTTTAATTTTTTAGAACCAAGAATTAAAAAATTTAAATTCAACAAATTTTTTAAAAAAATTTTTATCTCAAAAAAGGGAAATATCCAATCCATTTTAAAACGGTTTCTAAAAAAAATTTTGGGGTTAAGCACCAAAAGCTCTTACTAAAACTGCTTTTTTAAAGGGTTCCCAATTTAAAAATTAAATCGGGAAAATTTTTTCAGCCCCTTTTTTCCCCCTTGAAACACAACAAAAGGGAATTTTTAAAATGGGAAAAGTGGATAAATTTTAACAAATTTTTTAAAAGGGTTTATCAGGCAAGAGAAGCTAGCCCTTATACAATATCAGATTATTTGACCTTTTTCAATGTCAGATTATTTGACCTTCTACAATGTCAGATTATTTGACCTTTTGCAATATCAGATTATTTGACCTTTTACAATATCAGATTATTTGACCTTTTACAATGTCAGATTATTTGACCTTTACAAAGTCAGGATTTATGACCTTCTACAATGTCAGATTATTTGACCTTTTACAATGTCAGATTATCTGACCTTTTACAATGTCAGAATATTTGACCTTTTGCAAAGCAGGATTATTCAACAATTATTTAATGGTTAACCCTTACAAAGTCAGTTTTTATGACCTTTTACAATGTTTCATTATCTGCAATGTCAGATTATTCGACCTTTTAAAATGTCAGATTATTTGACCTTTTACAATGTCAGATTATTTGATCTTTTACAATGTCAGATTATTTGACCTTTTGCAATGAGGTTATTTTACCTTTTTAAAAAGTTTTAATTATTTCCTTTAAAAATTTAAAATTTTTTGACCTTCCCCCCAAATTTTTAGACTTTTTTAAACCAAACTCCCAGTGTCAATTTTTTTTACCTTTAAACAATGTCAGTTAAATTTGCCCTTTTCACAATGTTTATTTTTTATTGGACCTTTTTAAAAAGTAGATTTTTTTTACCTTTTAAAAAGTCAGATTTTTTTGCCCTTCTAGCTACAATGCCCTTTTAAATTTTACCTTTTAAAATTTGCCCAGATTTTTTGCCCAAATTCCCAATGTCAGAAAATTTGCCCTTTTTTTTTTTTTAAAACAGCGTCAGATTTATTTGCCCTTTTTTAAAATGTCAGTTTATTGTTTCTTTTCAAAAAAATTGTAGACATTTCTGTTTTTTTAAACCCTTTTCCCAGTATTTATAAAGTTTTTGTTTTTGGTGATAAAAATAAAAAATTTAATGTTTCCAAATCCTGCATAAGACATTCAAAGTTTTACCTAGATTTATGTGAATATTCTTACATTTCAAATATTTGTTTGTACATACAGAAGCACGCCACTTTAAAGGAACTCCATTTAGGTCAAAAACCTGAAAATATTAAACTTGAATTTTTTTTTACAAATATCAACTCTGGCACTAAAAACAGAAAGATATGCAAATAATAAAATAAAAAATAGACTCAGAAATAAATTATTCTGAAAAAAAAACAGAGTGAGCAAATAATTTGTTATTGGTCTGGACATACATCAAATGGAAGTTTAATCTAGAAAAAAAAAATTCAAGTCCTGGCATGTGAAGTCTTTAAGCATGATCGTAAGAGGCGAGGCGACTTAAAGTGTTCAAATAACTGGAGTCTTATGCATCTCTTAGCTTCAGAGGGTAAGGTGGTTTTGACCCTTGGTGTTGTTATATTTTTTTACCACAGGTTAGCCAAAATCCTTTGATAAGAAAAGTCACAAAATTTAAATCACATTTAGTCCAAAGAATGTGCCGCACTAAAAGACCGGAGAAATAAAACATGCCAATATTTGGAAAAACCGCAGAATTTGGAGCCTGCAGAAAAAAACACTTATATGGTATACAAAAGAGAAAGAACATCTTTCTACGCACAATTCTAAGAACATGTGTATAGCATGCCACATTTTATGATATTTTGTGGCATTTAAATGAATAGTGTCAATGTTATAATTCTACCAGCAATTTAAATATTCCTAACATAATGTAGGTTTGTTCAGTCAAGAGACTTCTTTTTATTCCATATATTACAGTTACCTAAGCTTACCTAAGCTCATCTACTGTGGTACATGAATAAAATTTGATTTTTCATTCTCAGCTTATTTCTAATCTAACTGGAATAAGAATATTTTACCTAATTTCATGACACCTGGACAAATTTAAAGTGTTTATTCTAAGTGGTCAGAAATTAAAATCATAGTAAACTGGAGTTGAATACCACCAGCAGAGAATTTCCTCTAAAAGAAATAAATAAGTATACCCCCCTGCAATTATTGTGGTATCTTTTATTAATTTAGCTTAAATAATTGGATAAGGAAAATATTTATTCAACACTTTAACCAGTCAATATGACAATTTACGCATTAATTGGATTATACACTTAAAAAATTGCATTTTCAATTAAAAATGAGAATTTTATTGTACAGTATTGTTATAATGTAAAGAAAATTAGAAAATAAGTTGCTTTGTCATTTTCAAACTTTGAGCATGGTTGAACTTTTAAAGTTGAGGTTTTCTCACTTTCAATTAAATATTAGGCATTCCAAGATGGTGATAGTGTGTAGGAGTAATTTAGGTGCATTGTTTTAAAACTGAAAATCTAAAGTCTGTTAGAGGAACATACTTTGTACTCTAAAGAATAGGAGACCAAATATAATATAAAGACCAACTTCAACTTAAAACCACTTGTGGGACACCTTTTGTAAAAGGCCACCATTCTTCTTCATTTAAACAAATATGATTGTACCACGTAAAATACAGTAATTTTTAAACAGAAACCTTTCCTTGAAGAAGATTTTTTCCAGATCTGAAGACAGGGCTTCATTTTGTGACTTAATTATTATTAACCAGGTTTTACCAGGTTTTCCGAAGGAAAAAACTGGTTATTAGATTGAGGTATGTCGGCGGGCGGGCGGATGGGCGGGCGGGCGGACGGGCGGGCGGGCGTAAACAATTTCTTCTGTGCGCAACTCCTTCTAAATTTCTCAACGGATTTTGACCAAACTTTCACAGAAGCTTTGTCATCAAGTGCCCTGGCGCATATTGTCGGGGTTTTGCGATTGGATAATATTTGACCTAATTATGGCCCTTTGTTTTTTTTCCTTATATAGAATATATAGTGAACAATTTCTTCTGTGCGCAACTCCTCCTACATTTCTCAACGGATTTTGACCAAACTTTCACAGAAGCTTTGTCATCAAGTGCCCTGGGGCATATTGTCAGGGTTTTTGAATTGGATAATATTTGACCTAATTACGGCCTTTTGTTTTTTTTCCTTATACAGAATTTATAGTGAACAATTTCTTCTGTGCGCATCTCCTCCTACATTTCTTCACGGATTTTGACCAAACTTTCACAGAACCTTTGTCACCAAGTGCACTGGCGCATATTGTCGGGGTTTTGCGATTGGATAATATTTGACCTAATTATTGCCCTTTGTTTTTTTTCCTTATACAGAATATATAGTGAACAATTTCTTCTGTGCTGAACTCCCTCTACAATTCTCAACAGATTTTGTTCAAACTTTCACAGAAGCTTTGTCATCAAGTGCCCTGGCGCATATTGTCAGGGTTTTGTGATTGGATAATATTTGACCTAATTATGGCCCTTTGTTTTTTTTCCTTTTACAGAATATATAGTGAACAATTTCTATCGTGCGCAACTTCTCCTACATTTCTCAACGGATTTTGACCAAACTTTCACAGAAGCTTTGTTATCAAGTGCCCTGGCGCATATTGTTGGGGTTTTGTGATTGGATAATATTTGACCTAATTATGGCCCTTTGATTTTCTCCTAATACAGAATTATCAATATATAGTGAACAAATTCTTCTGTGCTGAACTCGTCCTACATTTCTCAACGGAATTTTGTTCAAACTTTCACAGAAGCTTTGTCATCAAGTGCCCTGGCACATATTGTCGGGGTTTTGTGATACCTAATTATGGCCCTTTGTTTTTTTCTTTATACAGAATATATAGTTAACACTTCTTCTTCAGTGGCAATTCCTCCTACATTATTCATGTTTTACATTGCACATAGTTACATTGTTTGTTGCTTGTATTTGTATTTCAAATACAACATATTTATCTACAATAGTGATAATTGAAAACCTGGTTTCATGGCATTGCCATGTTTCTTGTTAGTTATTATATTGAAATTACTCCAAGTCCATACCAGAAAAATAACACCGGACCACAGTGTCACATCTAACATTGGTCTTTAGACAGGACTGTTCAACTGTACATTATTTATTTTTCAAACTGGTGTTTTCCAACATTCTTATAAGCTTGTGGTTCATGATATTGTTTAACGGAAATCATTGCTAGAATAACTGACAATGTAAATATATATGAGCCACGCCACGACAAAACCAACATAATGGATTTGCGACCAGCATGGATCCAGACCAGCCTGCGCATCCGCACTGTCTGATCAGGATCCATGCTGTTCGCTATCAGTTTCTCTACTTGTTATAGGGTTTGTAAGCAAACTACGTGGATCCTGATCACACTGGATGGATGCACAGGTCCATCCATGGTCTGGATCCATGCTGGTAGCAAACCCATTTTGTTGGTTATGTCATGGCGCAGCTCAATTATATAAAAAGATATTATATAATGCTATATTTTATCACTAGGAGGCAGCACTAGTCGCAGACATCGACAGTTTAAAGGGAGATCATTCTCAGAAGGTCTGTTACTGCAATGCCATCAAAGCAATGTTATAAGGTTGCAGGGGCACGGATATAGAGCTTGATATTTTTATTATGAATGCTATAGTACATTTTTACTAACATATTTTTGGTATTATCATCATATAGTTTGGTTTTTATGTAGTACTCATGGTTTTATGTAGATTACATGAAAGCTTATTATCAGTATGTTGCAAAATTAATATACAGCATGTTAACTTGTAGTTAACAATCCTATTAAGCCCATTGAAGTTGTACAATAGACTTGTCTTGCTTCTGAACTGGGAACAGTCCACAGTAGTTCCAGTTATTTTAACCCTTACAATGTTTAATTTCTTAAATGGACTTGTCCATCTTTAAATGTGGACAAAAACATTCATCATTTTTTTAGAAAAAAATTCAAAATATAAATGACTAAAAAGCAAACAGAGCAGATCATGATCGGGCAGCAGGTATGGGCAGGTTGATCCTGGTACTAGACATCACACTAAAGGCCAATACTGAAATTGGGCAAGAAATTGGTGATTATTTGGATGTGCAAGTTGGGGTGGCATAGATCTTTTTAACTTAATTCTTCCATACAGTGGAATTTAAAAACATGCTTCCTTTGTAGAACTAAAAAATTTAGGAAAAAGTTTAAAAAAGATACATGTATGTTAAAATGTGTACTAAACATATTAATTATTATCTTAGATGAGTTTTAAATTTGTTCTGTGTTAGCTTAGTGATAGCTACATATTTATGCTAACAAAAACCTAGTTGATTTTGAGGATTTGAATTGACTTCTTTATGTTAAGTTTATAAACCCCAAATGGGGAAAGTTTATTTATAAAGAAAGTTTCAAATTTACAAATATTTCAGTTTGTAGCTTATAGTTTTTATGTCAGCCCAGAAATTTACTGAAAATACCTGCCCATTCATAATCCTTACCCTGTATGTGAAGATTTGATATTTGAATTCTTATTACCCATGTGTGATCATAGAAATATTACCTAATATAATACTTATCCTTACCCCCCAGTTTATGACGAAAAATATTTGAATTCATATTCAATACCTGATTGTCACCATAAAATCCCTGCCAAATAATAATCTTTGACCCTGATATGTATACATGTACATTTATTTACTTTTTTATCCCAAATCCATATCTTGTGTTGAATATGTTTTTTCCCAAATTTTGATTTTTCAGACCAAGGTGATTGTTTTATTAGCATTTAAATTATATAAAGTATAATAATTACCTATATGTTGCCTAAAAACTTTTCATAAGACATTTAATTTTATAATTACATAGATAGTACACATGTATAATATATGAGCCGCATCATGACAAAACCAACATAATGGGTTTGCGACCAGCATGGATCCAGACCAGCCTGCGCATCCGCACAGTCTGATCAGGATCCATGCTGTTCGCTTTCCAACTCTATTACAAGTAGAGAAACTGATAGTGAACAGCATGGATCCTGATCAGACTGCACGGATGCGCAGGCTGGTCTGGATCCATGCTGGTGGCAAACCCATTATGTTGGTTTTGTCGTGACGCGCCTCATATATATTTTAATGGTATTATAAATCTATATTTACTACCCTGATGTTAGAATGCAAAGTTTTGGGTGATGGAATATTTTGTGTGGATTTCTTAAATGATTACATATTTTCTTCATTTGTCAAACCATTAATTAATCAAAGGCACAATATGCCTAAGAATTGACATAAATTTTCCTTTTATAAAAATGGCAAACATGAATTTAATAATTTTTTACATGTTAGATAACTTTGTCAGTTGAAAAAAGTAGCGCTGAATATGAATTTCTTTGTAATAAAATTAGCAAAATGTAAACAAAGAAGTATTTTGACTTCCATATAAAATATATACTAAATCAATATAACTGTACTCAATTGCCGGAAGGGAACAAATAGTTAAAGATGGTTCAGATCATTGGCCAACAAATAACTTTTGTGAAACTTTAACAGGACATCAAAATTAAAAGCTTCTGAGAGGCCATCCAGTTAGCTCAATTAAGGTAGAGTGTTGAACTGTGAAACAGGCAACCTGGGTTTGATTCTCAGGTTGTAGGCCACTTTCGTTGTGACTGACCATGAAATCTTTTCTATGGTCATTCGCACTGTACATTTACTCTGGCATGTACAGAAGTTATCAGTTCTTTGCAAAAATGAAGATATCTTAGTATGGTAAACTGCTTGGCAGCCTGCCCGGGAACGTTCAGGTGGCTGAACTGAGCTCTGATAAATTCTATGTGGCTTACTGCTATGATCCAGAGAGAAAACCAACAAAACCACCACCATGCTTCTCAAAAATGAAAACAAAAGCATTTCTTGGGCATAATGGGCCTTTAAGATTATTATCGCAAAGAGATTTTTAATGTATCTCCAAGATACCATGCTTGCTTGTATCTATAGCTGGAATTGCTTACATAATATCCTATTTCTCTTTCCAAATCATATTTCAAATTTTACACAAATGATCAATTTTTAACAACAGTGTAAAATTTAGTAGAAGATTATTTTCAGTTATAAAAAAGGAGTAAAAAAAACGATGAAAACATTATAAACAGTGATTAAGACAATATTATAACTAATTTTGGAAACAAATTCAGTTTATTCTGGTAAGTTCATAAAATGTATAAAGTAACAAAGGTAGTTTCCTTAGTAAAACTCGTTATATTATCAAAACTTAACTTTGTGTATGTCGTGCTGTAAATGGATACAAACTTGAAGCAAATTCAAACTTGATAAAAGAGAATCCTTCCTATTTTTCTTAATCAGGTACTCGGCCATCTATAATACACATAGGGCAAACATTTCGACAATCAGGTAGCAATATCCATGGAAGTCTTCCATCACGTATTGGTAAGAATTATTAACAATTTAAAGGGTATAAAGCTATAATTATGTTATGACATATTTTTTTATAAAATTTATAAATAGTAAAATTATGTTGTTTCCATTTATTAATAATTTTGTAAACTATTGGCTACAGATATATGTAGTTTTATGCACTTTACCATTTTAACAAAACACTTACTATACATACTGTATACATGTAACTAAAATATTGTTAATAGAAAGTCAGGTCAACTGTGAGTTTCACATTGTTTTGTTTTGTTTTTTTCAAAGGAAACAAAGAATAGGTCAGTATTTTGTCTATTTCCTTATTTTGGCAGTAATCCAGTTATTTTGTTTACTTCTGATTTTTTAAATGCTTCTTTTTACTGGTTCAAGGTAAAATGATTAACCTTGGTGATGAACAGAAGGCAATGGAGCATGAACTTAATAATCTTCGTCAACAACTAGACAAAAGTCAGGAAATGATCAGACATTTACAAGATCGAGAAAAACAATGTTTAACTAAGTAAGTGACAAATTTTATTATTGAAATAAACAATTTCATGGTGAAAAAAAAACCCCAAATGATTTGTACTTTTTAATATTTTTCATCAAAAGACCCTTTTTCAGTTTTTAAATGTTTCTGGTCATTGACAGAAAAGATACAAATTTCTTTTGTCATTGTAATCTTCATGTGATTGTCAAGTTGGTAGTAATTAGTATCAATACATTGGTTAATATTCTGGCTTTATAAAAATAAAAATCTAATATAATATCTAATCAGTATCACCCAGACCTTTGAGCGTTGTCACACACAAACAAGTGGGTGACAAGACCCAAACATGTTGATGATACAGACTATGTAACATTCCCTTTATGTCCCACACTCATTTTATATCTTACCACAGTAAATATCTGAAATAGACCTGTCAATCTTTCAATCTGGACAAAATCATTCAGCATTTTTATGGAAATTTTTTAAAATCAGTACTGACTGAATATGAATCAGTGCAGACCATGATCAGACTGCATAGATAATGTCTTTACTTGTTGTATGGGTATAGCAGCCTTAAAGTTTAGAGAGTTGGCTGCTTTTGAAATATATTATTGGACAGTGATTTGATAATGATACCAATCTTGATCCACTGTTGATAACTCACTGTCAACATCACATTCTTGGCACAGAAAATAAAAAATAAAAATGGTACAATAATTTTACATTGATTTATCACAAATTCTAACATTTTAGAATATCCGAGCTCCAGTTACAGATACAGATTCCGTCTAGCGATGAAGATGCCACAAACAGGGTACAAGAGCTCATCGTAACGTTCCGGAACCTCTATCATCTAGATAGAGCAGAAGCTTTAGAAGCTCTCAACAATCTTCCAGAATTGAAAGAAGTACACTCATTGAAAGGAAAAATACTTTTCTCCGTTGTTGTTGTAAGTAAACATCACCATGTGTTTAAATCAGATATTAAATATTTCCAATTGTTTACAGAAGCTCAACCGAGGTCCAAAAGCTAAAAATCATAAAATTTAAAATGATTAAATAGATCAACTAGTGAACTGATAATAAAAAAAATAGAAATAGAATAAAAATGGATAGAGTGATTTGATTCTTTATTAACAAACATTATTGGTCCCAAAATCAGATGGTTAAAAAATCTAGGAAATAAAAAAAATCATGTCAAAAAACCTCAGTGGAATCTCTTGTCCAGTTTAAAATGATGAATTTCCACATCAATGGACCATTGTAAATGCTGATAAACAAAACATTTTAACAAATTTCATTTTGAATTTACTTAAAAAAACAAACATTTTTACAAGTGTACAACTTAATAATAGTTACAAACTAATGTTAGTTTTGCTTGATATTAATCAGTACACAACTCAAATGCAATGTTAAGTGTTTCATATTTCATGAAGATTCCTGCCCTATTTCAGTGTGCATAATTTCATGAAGTAATTCCTGCCATATTTCAGTGTGCATAATTGCATGAAGATTCCTGCCATATTTCAGTGTGCATGATTTCATGAAGATTCCTGCCATATTTCAGTGTGCATAATTGCATGAAGATTCCTGCCATATTTCAGTTTGCATAATTGCATGAAGTAATTCCTGCCCTATTTCAGTTTGCATAATTGCATGAAGTAATTCCTGCCATATTTCAGTTTGCATAATTTCATGAAGTAATTCCTGCCCTATTTCAGTTTGCATAATTTCATGAAGTAATTCCTGCCATATTTCAGTGTGCATAATTTTAATTCCTGCCATATTTCAGTGTGCATAATTTCATGAAGTAATACCTGCCATATTTCAGTGTGCATAATTGCATGAAGATTCCTGCCATATTTCAGTGTGCATAATTGCATGAAGTAATTCCTGCCATATTTCAGTTTGCATAATTGCATGAAGATTCCTGCCCTATTTCAGTGTGCATAATTGCATGAAGATTCCTGCCCTTTTTCAGTGTGCATAATTGCATGAAGATTCCTGCCCTATTTCAGTGTGCATAATTGCATGAAGATTCCTGCCATATTTCAGTGTGCATGATTTCATGAAGATTCCTGCCATTTTTCAGTGTGCATGATTTCATGAAGATTCCTGCCATATTTCAGTGTGCATAATTGCATGAAGATTCCTGCCCTATTTCAGTGTGCATAATTGCATGAAGATTCCTGCCATATTTCAGTGTGCATAATTGCATGAAGATTCCTGCCATATTTCAGTGTGCATGATTTCATGAAGATTCCTGCCATATTTCAGTGTGCATGATTTCATGAAGATTCCTGCCATATTTCAGTGTGCATAATTTCATGAAGTAATTCCTGCCATATTTCAGTGTGCATGATTTCATGAAGATTCCTGCCATATTTCAGTGTGCATGATTTCATGAAGATTCCTGCCATATTTCAGTGTGCATAATTTCATGAAGTAATTCCTGCCATATTTCAGTGTGCATAATTTCATGAAGATTCCTGCCCTATTTCAGTGTGCATGATTTCATGAAGATTCCTGCGATATTTCAGTGTGCATGATTTCATGAAGATTCCTGCCATATTTCAGTGTGCATAATTGCATGAAGTAATTCCTACCATATTTCAGTGTGCATAATTGCATGAAGATTCCTGTCATATTTCAGTGTGCATAATTTCATGAAGTAATTCCTGCCATATTTCAGTGTGCATAATTTCATGAAGATTCCTGCCGTGCATGATTTCATGAAGTAATTCCTACCATATTTCAGTTTGCATAATTTCATAAAGTAATTCATGCCATATTTCAGTGTGCATAATTGCATGAAGATTCCTGCCCTTTTTCAGTGTGCATAATTTCATGAAGTAATTCTTGCCATATTTCAGTGTGCATAATTGCATGAAGTAATTCCTGCCATATTTCAGTGTGCATGATTTCATGAAGATTCCTGCCATATTTCAGTGTGCATAATTTCATGAAGTAATTCCTGCCATATTTCAGTGTGCATGATTGCATGAAGATTCCTGCCATATTTCAGTGTGCATAATTGCATGAAGATTCCTGCCCTTTTTCAGTGTGCATAATTTCATGAAGTAATTCCTGCCATATTTCAGTGTGCATGATTGCATGAAGATTCCTGCCATATTTCAGTGTGCATGATTTCATGAAGTAATTCCTGCCATAAAATTATTTCAGTGTGCATAATTTCATGAAGATTCCTGCCATATTTCAGTGTGCGTAATTGCATGAAGATTCCTGCCATATTTCAGTGTGCATAATTGCATGAAGATTCCTGCCATATTTCAGTGTGCATAATTTCATGAAGATTCCTACCATATTTCAGTGTGCATAATTGCATGAAGATTCCTGCCCTATTTTAGTGTGCATGATTTCATGAAGTTATTCCTACCATATTTTAGTTTGCATAATTTCATAAAGTAATTCCTGCCATATTTCTTGAAGAAATTCCTGCCATATTTCAGTTTGCATAATTTCGTGAAGAGATTCCTTCCTTGAAGTACTTGAATTGCCATATTTCCGTGTGCATAAATTCATTTAGTAATTCCTGCCATATTTCAGCTTGCATTTCGTTCAGTGCAGCAGATGATACAAGAATTAAGAGGGAAATTGAGACATACTCTTAAACTTCCTGTACCCAATGCCCCTATGGTAACATCTAGTGATCCAGTTGCCATGGAAATGGAGCTACATATTGAGAAATATTTGTGTAAAGCTTCCCAGAGATTTGAAATTTCACAATGTGTTCAGGTAAGATTTACCACGGACATGACTAAAGTGTCAGTGTATAAATGACAAAATGTAAACTTCCTTTTGCTGATTAAAACATTTTGATGTTATTTTGTATATGAAAGAGTATGTAACAGTGACAGCAAAGACTTACATTATTTCAGATCATCCCTTGTATATACATATGTTTAACAAAGATCATTTGCCAAAAAGGAAATGCACATTAATTCATGTAGAATTGCAAATCCTTGGCAAGCCAGTAGGATATCTACCTTTATATATATTAAAAATTTTACAAGTCCCAGATTGTATTTGAACCAACAGTAATGGGGTGGGGGCTAATTTGTCAAGCATTATTAGCATTATGTATGTTACACTATAAGTTTTTAAGGAACATTCATATTCAAAATTGTAAGTTTAGCTCTATTTTATGTAAATAAAGTTCATTTTTGTTTATCTGTTACAGAATTTAAACAATTGTGTTCCAGATTGGTTATTATTATACTGTATATTGCAGGAAGTAAGCTCCCAGATATTTGCCACATTATATGACTATCCTTGCTTGAAAACTTGTGATGGATTGAAACAGTATATGAACAACTGTATACAGGCAGCATGGGGACTCAGTGTCCAGCGACCACCTTTTGTGATTGTTTATGATTCACGTGTCTTTAATAACGAGATTCACGTTCGTGGTGAAAGTTCAGACATTCAATCTGTGATGATCAGAAATTTTCTATGGCCAGCATTGATCCAAGCAAATAATGGACCATGTGTGCATAAAGGAATTGTTGAAACTTAGGAATGTATGATATTCAAAATTAATGATTTGAGCCGTGTCATGACAAAACCAACATAATGGGTTTGCGACCAGCATGGATCTAGACCAGCCTGCGCATCCGCGCAGTCTGATCAGGATCCATGCTGTTCGCTATCAGTTTCTCTACTTGTAATAGGGTTGGCAAGCGAACAGCATGGATCCTGATCAGACTGCACGGATGCGCAGGCTGGTCTGGATCCATGCTGGTCGCAAACCCATTGTGTTGGTTTTGTCGTGACACGGCTCATTTTTTTTTTTGTCCTGAAACATAAATACACCAGTTGTTCAAAGATTCATATTGTCATAAATTTATAAGTACCAATGCTTGCTAGATTAATTAAACTTGGTCAAAATCTAAAAAAATAAATCTAACAGTCACAACTATTTTCTACATTATTCCAACTGCTTACATTATTTCATAATCATTCAATAAAAGTTTCAGTTAAGAATTTCAACATACTGTATTGATAGAAGAAAGCATTCACATTTCATGCAGATTTTATTGAGGACAATGCATGTGTAAACTTAATTAATTTATTCAATTTAATGAAGTTAAATTAAAATTTACATGTATTTCAATTATGCAAGATGCATTTAAGTATGTAATAATTATATATAGCATTTTAACTTCAGGTTGTTTATTTGTTGTTTATTTAAAACAAAAGACATCTCAAAGTACACAATGAAAGTGGTACAAATTTTTATTGCTTTAACATTTTATAATTAACAATTCACTCTGAATATAATTTTTGAATATTGCTTTTAAAAAGGGATTCCACTGAGGTTTTTTTTGACATGAAGGGACCAACAATATATATTTTTAAGATTTTTTTTATATAACTGCATGTTACTCTGGGTGTAAAATTTCAGATCATTTGCTCACTTTGCTTCCCAAAGATAATTTTATTTTATTGCACAAATTGACCCCAAAATGAAAATCTTTGCAATGCTTTTCACTCCATTAGCCCAAAAAAGGCATAAGAAATTGATTATTGATTAAGTACCAAGTACATTTACATTATTATCATCTATTGCATAGTTTTCCATTTTAAGTGTACTATTGATTTTTGAAAGAATGTCATATTTTATGTTTTTAGGCTATTGGACCTCAGTGGAGTTCCATTAACATAATGGTACTTGCGTACAAAATTTTACAGTTAAGATTTGTTGAACCTTACATGTAATTTTACTGTTATATTTTCTATGCATTTAGAAATATGAAGCAATGTTGTTTATTTATTTAACTTTTTGAGTTGAAAATTTTGCTTTTAAATAAAAATGCATTTTATACATATTTTGTTATCTCTTTTTGTATTTAAAATAACCCAGTAGCTAACAACAAGACCTTTTGATTTCTATTATAAACCAACATTTGAAATTTGTGTTTCACAAGACTGAATGGGTTTCCAATATTCTGTTTAGAAATGCTGAGTTAAGTGCTAGTTAACTGAACTGATTTAATGAGCTTACCCTCCTTTAAATACAGACCAGTCCATTCAAAAGTTCAGGGATTTCAATATCAATATACAAACAAGAGCTGGTTGAACTGGGTGATGCTCCCCAAATAGGTTTTGGCCACAGGAAAGTATACCTCTTATAGTGTCAGAGTTATGTCACGGACACAGTTCAAAGTGTAAAAATGAACAAAGGGCAATAACTCCAAAATTAGGCAAAGCAGTTATGGTTCTTTTGCAATGCACATCTACCCAATGAGATCTATCTACCTACAAAGTGTCTTGTTCATATCTATTATACTTTAAGAACTATGTCCAAGACAAAGTTCAAAGTGTAAAAATGAACAAAGGGCAATAACTCCAAAATTAGATAAGACAGAGTTATGGTTCTTTTGCACTGCACTTCTACTTGAAAAGATCTATCTACCTACAAAGTTTCATATTGGTATCTCTTGTTGTTTCAAAGTTATGTCCCGGACAAGAATAGCAGAGGGATGGACGTTCTAATGGGACAGTAATAATGCTACTCTATTGTCCTTTTTAGTCACACAAAAGAAAATAGCCACATAAAAGCATAACGGAATGAATGACATCGAAGAGAGAGAACAGTTTCCTATTGTCTCTCTAGCCACATTATTACTGTCCCGTTAGAGCGGACAGACGACGTGGTCAGACTGAGTGAATATGCATGCTAGAGGAAGAAAAGGCTAATTACACTAACTTCAATTCCAGCATGTTAAAGCTGTATACCTCCAGATTCATGATAATTTAAATGAAAATTTTGAAAGTAAGTAAACATTGTCAAAATGAACAAAGAATGTAATTTATACATTACAGACAGCACTTTAAATCAATGTAAATTACCAAATAATGGTCAAAATATGCAGAAATACTCGTAACTACTCATGTCACACAAAAGAAATATGGTGATAAATACCGTCATTCATTGCATATACTATGTAATTCAGTAACTGAATTCTGAACATTTTTACTTTTCTGAAAATCTAAGTACAATTTTTGCAAAGTTTTGCAAAGCAGTGACATAACCAATGTTACTTAATGTGGTACCAGTACAGACCTGTTTTATCACAAATAACGCACCTGATCTCCATAATAAGTAACAAATGGCATTAGACACAATTTTATCTACTGTACAACATCAGCCATTCCAGTTCAAATAGCAAATCTATGGCTCATAGACCTGGTGCTCATTCTTATTGAAAATCTTATCCCCTAAATCTACCCAAGAAAGCATTAAAGTGGCCTTCATCTTTTATTTTCATTTGGAAAAAAACAATTCTGTGTTGTTTTAAACTAAGTATTTTAGTAATTTTATAAAAGTTTTCACTATAAGTAAATAAAGAAAATCAATGACCAGGGCAGGGCAAATAGACTATTTTGACTCCCAGGGCTATAATTTGAACAATCTTGGTAACAATCTGAGGTCCGATAGACAATGCCTTAGCTCTAGACCTTGTGGGTCTTTAGAATATTTTTTTCTTATTTCTTTTTGGTTCCTATGGCAAACAGACTTCTGCATGGAATCAAATTATTTGAACAACTTTGGAAGCCCTTCACCCAAGGAACAATCCTGCCAAGTTTGGTTGAATTTGGACTTACCATTTTTTAAAAGAAGATTTGTTAAGTTCACTATATAATATATAGAACACACACAGGTGAATCGCTATATGCCACCGTATCACAGATGCTGCAGTGGCATATATATCTTACTATATCTAACGACAAATACAACATATAATTAAGTAAAACATTCTTTATTTTTGATGTATCGCTTAACAACAGGGGTCATTAAGAATAACAATTAAAGTTCATGTGTACTGTTTTTCTTACAAAATGAATTATTCTTAACTTACAATTAATAATCAAATATTGTTACTTGTAAATATATAATTATTAACAACAGGTTCTAAAACAAAACATTATTTTCAACCTATTTATTTATTTATTTATCTATCACAGTTCATGAATGGATTATTAAGACATTATGTTTAACAAAAGGACTTTTCACGTCAACTTATTTACATATAAAAAAGTAAACTTTTTTCATTACTGTTCATAATTCACTAATAAAACACTAGTTTCATTTCTACATCTTGTATAAATAACAATCTTATTATAATACAAAGTATTTTGAGTTCAATATAATACAACAATCATGTATTTTTTTACACATTTATTGTAAAATGTTGATTTTACTGCTTATCAGCCATTTTTGGCTTTATAAAAATTATGTAATATGAAAAAACCTTTATGTCCTAGACTCATTTTACCCTTACTACCCTAAATGTTTTAAATGGACATGTTCCATCTTTCAATTTGTACCTAACCATTCAAAATATATACTGACAGATACGGGATCACTGCAGATCATGATCTGGTCCAATCTTTTTCGCAGTAATCTCCCCTTATCAGTTTAATCTGCCAAGGGGGGTAATCACTGTGAGGAGTTTGTCACATGAACTGGGTGGATGACTAAAATTTGTCACTGCCAGCAGGCTAGGGGTAAATATAAGTCTATCTAAAACAATAACTCCAGTAAGATCCCATAACTCTGTCAATCACAAAATTCTTTAACATTAATCACAGTTATCTATCTTAATAATAAAATCCTAATATTCGTCCATACATCATGTAACATCATGTTCTTTCTTCATATAGTATGTGTTAACTGTCTTCTTAACTTTATCATAGACACCAAGGAATATTGCTCCTCCGATAGATATCCACATCATACGAGGTAATATCCCACTATATAACCTGTAATAGATATCATATATATTATTTAAACATTGCTTATCTAAGCTCAACTGGAAACAAAACTTTAAAGCTTTCTATGGCTACTTTGAGAACACTTCCTGGAACTAATTAGAACTTGGGTCCAAGGTTATAGAGAAATTTACTGAGCTCAAACTCAGATCTACAGTATATTTGTCAGAAAACTGCTCAGTATGAATACTGACCAATGAAATCCTAAGATTTGAGACTGTACCCATATTCAATCAAGTAATGACAAAATTATAAGCCCGACAGTATTTAGCCTCCAAGTATGACCTTGACCTTGAAAATAACAAGGGTCTTGCACAAGATGCATCATCTACTTATGGTAATCATGTGTACAATTTGCTTTTTAAATTCCATCATGTATGCAAAAGTTATGTAAGCTGGACACAAACTCTGGTGGCACTCAAGTCTATATTTGAGCCGCGTCATAACAAAACCAACATAATGGGTTTGCGACCAGCATGGATCCAGACCAGCCTGCGCATCCGCACAGTCTGATCAGGATCCATGCTGTTCGCTTATAAACCCTACAGAAAGTAGAGAAAACAATAGCAATCAGCATGGATCCTGATCAGACTGCTGATGCTGCGCAGACTGGTCTGGATCCATGTTGGACGCAAACGCACTATGTTAGTTTTGTCATGACGCGGCTCATTTGGTAATCCTAATGTTGAGTTCAATCCATTGCTGTAGGATATAATGTCTCACCTTTGTCTTACAAGAGCTGTTAGTGAGCAAAAACTAAAACTTACTTAAACAGTTAACCAATCTCGATCTTTCCCAGTCTGTCATGATAATAGCTCAGCCTTTTCTTCGCAAAGTAAAGCTCAAAAGGTGAAAAGAAAACTAAAAATTTTCACATACCCTTTGAATCCTTTTTCACTGTACACAACTTTTAATGCATGCACTATACTTCCTTTGGACAAAACACTTCCTTTCTGGAAAAAAAGAAGAGCAGCCAAATCAACAAAAATTTTCGTAACTGTAATTCAAGAGGGGCATGCGTTATTGCCTGCTAAATTTAGCATGTTTACATTTAAATACGACATAATCTAGGTGGAATTATTTTTTTTTGTCCTAAATCTTAATCAACATTTAACTTGGCTCTTATATGCAAACATATTATTTTTAATGTTTAAAATCTTAAGTTGAACTAAAGCTTAGAGATTGAAACATTAAAATTTGTCTTCAAAAGATAAAAAGATGTACAGATTATAATTTATCTGTGCAAAAATATTTATCTTGTGAGCACTATCTCATCCAGATCTATAAATATTTAAAGAGACTCCACTGACGTTATTTAACATAATCTTTCTAATCAATTGGACCAAAATATTAACATTCTGCAACTTTTTACTCAAATCGATGCAAGAATATAAAAAAACTTGATATTTATTAGTTCGTTTTTCTTCATTACGCCTTTTCCAACAGAATTAATCATATAGCGGTTTCAACATGTTCCTGAAGTTACCCAAATATAACAACGTTCTCGCTAAAGTTACTCAACATCTCCCGGAGATCGAACCACGCAAGAGTAATGGATTAGAAGTATGACGTAACCTCGCAGAGCGTATTTAGTTCTGGGTATATATTACAGCTTCCAATATAATCATACTAAAAATAAATTTTGTATAAACTGAAGGGTGATAATTCAGTCAAAATTTTTGCTTTAGTAATGGACCTTGAAAAGTGACCTCCTACTGTGATCTCAAAGATATATGAGAAGTTAAAAGCAAATATCTTTAGTGATTCATGAGACATGTTTTGCACAAGAAATTGCATGTAGAACTTTTACCCAAGTGTTATACCTCTGCTGACCTGGTCAAGCTGAGTATGTGCAATTAGAGAGTATTTCCCGATGATTTAATTCATTCATGCATGTTTTGCTCCTTCATAAATATACACCTTCATGTGCAGATTTTCTGCGAGAATAAACGTTAAATCCTATCATAAGGTAGGTTTAATATTTTCTTCTCTTGATGCAATTGACATACCTCTGCTAGCATGATTCGAGTTTTAGCTACATCTAGTGGTGTTGTTATGCCAGAAGCTGTACATCCTGTAAGTATATAACATTATATTCCATTCTTCATGAGGTATCTATATAATCATCATACCAACACTGAATGCTGTATGATGATTTTATTTATTTTTTATTTATTTATTTTTGTAATGTGTAAAGAGAAGAGAAACCCTCAAGTGCCCCTAGAGACATTATTTCAGGTACAAACAATTGCTAGGGTAGAACTCCAAACCTATAGTAAGCTAGCTGGACAGCTTTCTAACCTGAAAAAGGCAAGTGGAATTATTCTTACTAGAAGTAATCACTTTTTTTTTGATAATGATTACAGCTTCTATACAACTGAAATTTTTTTGTTCATCTAAATAAATGTTCACTATTGTATATATTGGATAATTATTTTTGTCAGATGTAAGTATTCAATGTTTATCCTGCCGCATTTTTAAACTATTGCAACGTTTTAATTTGTAAATACTGACTTAAATTACAAACACATCCGTTAACTGGTTGAAAGTAGATCAGTTGGCTGTGGGTAGAACAATTGTGCGTTTGGTAAGTTTTTTTTATCTTGCTTTCTTGCTATTGCTGCATAAGATGTTATCAAAAATTATGTCAACTAAAAGGGACAAACCCCACCCCCACCCCCCAAAAAAACATACTTGGTAATCCGGTTAAAACTGACATTTATATAGTTAGTTCTACCTGCACCAAGCTGTCCTACTCGCTACATGTTAACGGGTGTGATAATAGGGGTGTTTATATCTGTGGCAAGTGTAACATAACAAATGTCATGTAACAGTGGGAGGTGGTATCTTCAGTAGGCTAACAGTGACAGTTGGTACCTTCAGTAGGCCAACAGTGACAGGTGGTACCTTCAGTAGGCCAACAGTGACAGGTGGTACCTTCATTGGGCTAACAGTAACTGGTGGTACCTTCATTGGGCTAACAGTAACTGTTGGTACCTTCAGTAGGCCAACAGTGACAGGTGGTACCTTCAGTAGGCCAACAGTGACAGGTGGTACCTTCATTGGGCTAACAGTAACTGGTGGTACCTTCATTGGGCTAACAGTAACTGGTGGTACCTTCATTGAACTAACAGTAACTGGTGGTACCTTCAGTAGATTAACAGTGGCAGGTTAGAACCTTCAGTAGGCTAACAGTGACAGGTGGTACCTTCAGTAGGTCAACAGTGACAGGTGTAACCTTCAGTAGGATAACAGTAACTGGTGGTACCTTCAGTAGATTAACAGTGGCAGGTTAAAACCTTCAGTAGGCTAACAGTGACAGGTGGTACCTTCAGTAGGTCAACAGTGACAGGTGTAACCTTCAGTAGGATAACAGTAACTGGTGGTACCTTCAGTAGATTAACAGTGGCAGGTTAGAACCTTCAGTAGGCTAACAGTGACAGGTGGTACCTTCAGTAGGTCAACAGTGACAGGTGTAACCTTCAGTAGGATAACAGAAACTGGTGGTACCTTCAGTAGATTAACAGTGACAGGTGTAACTTTCAGTAGGTCAACAGTGACAGGTGGTACCTTCAGTAGGTCAACAGTGACAGGTGTAACCTTCAGTAGGATAACAGTAACTGGTGGTACCTTCAGTAGATTAACAGTGGCAGGTTAGTACCTTCAGTAGGTCAACAGTAACAGGTGGTACCTTCAGTAGGCTAGGTTAAACCTTCAGTACCCATATTAACATCTTCTTCCAATTTTATGAAAATTTTCCTTTGAAGTCTGATTGTATAGATATGAGTCTCACACTCATAAAACAAAACTTAATGTTGAGTTCAGGAAGTACAATTCATTGGAAAGAGGACAAAATACCTGCCACGGCTCCACATACAGAAGACTGCCAGGGTTCTACAGGAGTATTTTGATGTTTCGACCAGCATTTCTGAAAAATAAAATCATGTTCCATAAAGACAAAATCATGTTCCATAAAGATAAAATCATGTTCCATAAAGAGATTGGATAAGTTCAAAACTAAAATTAACTGCTCATATTATGTACTGCAATTCAGATATTTATAATGCATCAATTCTTTGTGTTGTATTTAGTTTTTTAATGACTTTTTGTAAATAAACAAGTGGAAATGGACATAAAAGTAATCAATCTAAAAACTTGCTGCTTAATCCAGATAAAACTTTATGGAGATATGTTTAAAGTTATATGCAGAATCACCGGAAAGAACTGGCAAAGTATGTAGAAAATCTTGTAAGGAGTAAACCAGCAAGTATACAGGACAGTCATCATCACCTTAGTGCAGTAATAGGTTAACTACAATTGAAATCTTATAGGAGTTAACCTGTTACTGCACTAAGATGACAAATTGTATATGACATAAATTACTATGACATTCTAATTCAAACAAACTCTTACTTTTAAATATTCCCATGTAGGAAACTGTATGAATGAAAAAGGTATTTCTCTAACAACAGTGCTAAAATACCCTCTATATAAACCTCTAAAACCCTGAAAAAAAAAGAGAACAGCTTATAGTTACAGCTTCATACTTATTTTCATTTTTTATTTTGACATGTTAAACATACATAGGACAAGTTACAGGCAATTGTCACCAAAACATGGGTTTTCACCATAATTAGATATCCACAGAGGACCATTATTCTCGACTTTCCGCATTTACAAAGTGCTAGTTTGATATGCTTTATTTTCAGATAATCCAAGCATTCTATGTTGAAGAAATTTGACAGATACATTAAATTTACTTCATCTTTTAAAAATATCCCATTGTGGTCTTTCTAAACAAACATCTGATGAAACAGAAATAGTGAAGAATCTAGGACAGGGTGCCAGATGATGTGTGAAATAAAACAAAGGACCATAATTCTTCAAATCACAAAATCGTGACAATATGCACCAAGGCACTTGATGATAATCTTACTGTGAAAATTAAATTTTAATCTCTGGAAAGAAATGTAGGAAGAATTTTTCATGTTGGAATTTGCTAACACCCTGCTGCCTAACTGTTGGTTGACATTTTTAAATTTAACCAGTTTCTGTTGCATCTTTTTGACCATAACTTTTGACCAAATTACCTCAATATCTATGGGGTCATCAACTAGCCATGCCTAAATTCCACACCAAATCGTAGGACTGAGGCTTTTCTAGTTAATGGTTGGATAAGGTATGGTATACCAACGAATAGGTATGGACCTTTTCAGGTTTTTGTAGCGGGACATTTAGCCATACCTTTTGCATTCCTTGCTAGGTCAACTGCTTACAAACAGTATCACAAATATAAGCATGTGTTCTTTTGTGCAAACCAGGTCAACCAGTGACTATGTATTATCTCAGTGTAGCGATTGGATAACAAGTTAGCCAATTTACATAAAACTGTAAACACCGGAAAGGTCCATTGTGCAAAGCAATATTCTCCCACTTCTTTGAAGGGTGGACATAAAAATACTTACTTAGTACTAGGTATTTTGCAAAAATCAACCATACTAAACACTTTTAAAGGACTATCAATAACGTTAACAAGTAGAGCTACAAAGTATACATTGATAACAAGTAGAAAAGTATTGTTTATATACCTCGGTAGAAAGTGTAGCTTTAAAAACTTGTAAAGATGATTTGTGTCTGTTAGCCTGTGCTCTCTGTTTGACCACTTCGACTGGCACACGTATCAAACATGCTCCCTAATCAGTGGCAAAACATGAAATGAAATGGTTACAGAATTATTTATATCAATACATTTGTATATAGAAGCTAGTCAGCTAGCTTACAGAAGATTTAAGGTTCTACTCTATGTCTTATTCCATTAATGCTTGATGCCTAATGGTCATAACTTTTATGTCATAATGAAAGAAGAAATTACATCCACTTCACACCAAGATCGTGATTTACGCCTGGAAAAATACTAAGAAGAGCACCAGAGACCTTTTCCAACAGGTAAACCTCACTTGTTCTGATACCAGAACTTACAAATCCTTCTGTCATTATCATAACTATATCATTTAAAGTAAGGCAGTAGCTGATTCATTCTAGTGAAAAACAAACTCGAGAAACCTGATATCATTCAATCACAGAATTATTCACCAACTGTCACCACAGACACATGTTAGGTACTGATATTAAAAATGCCATTAAGTTAATATGTTCACTTTCCATTGATTGATATGGAGGAGGATGACTTCAGATATTACTCAACACATGGTTTCAACTTTCAGGTTTTCACCATGTATGTACAAAAACTTACCGACCACAAACCAGCACTTGAGAAAATCATTCACTTTCTATGAGATAAAAATATATATCTTTCACAATGATTACAAGCAATATTCATTCAGTATAGTTATCAACTTTAGCATATTAACATTGGAGACTCCTTCCATGAATGATAAATTTTCTCTCAAATGTTCATGTATCAATCCAAATCTTCTATGCTTTAACCCTTATCCTGCTGAATTTCAAACTTGTCCAGTTTCCATTTTTGGAACTGTCCATTATCAATTTTGGGGATGTGAAGATGAAAATTGGAAGAAAGTCAGCTAACAGTATAGAGCTAGGTTCCAGCAGGCTATGGGTTAAGTGCGTAAAGCGACCTCCAGCTTACCTTAAGGTAAAATATGTTATTTTTAGATATATCATTTCATATAATTGACAAATCAAAGGAATTATGGTGGAAAATGAAAATGGCCTGCGATTAAATACATGAACAATAAGGACACCCCTCAATACCTCTTATCTAATGCTCCACTCTTTATATTTAAATGACAATATGTTTCCAAATCTTCTATTTTCAGAAACAAACACATGCTTTATAAATAGCTCCCTAGATGCTGTTTTAAAGAAGGTTTGACAGTGATATGATATCCTTTATTCAAGATAAAATAACTGAGCCACTTAGTTTGAGATAACACAGAATTATTTATCCCACAGAAAATAAAAGCTGAATGCACCTTTAACATGTGTAGTTTAATTTATAGTTCTATAGTTTTAATTATCCTATACTACCTAGTATAGGTTAACTTAAACTTGTTTAACAATCAAAACTTACAACTTCACCTGCAGATGCTGCACACATGTGAACAACTGGTGACAATTGTGATTCTGTTCCAGCTATATTCTTTACACTTTCATAAGTCAGGAAAAACAGGGCAGCTAAATAAAACAAAAACAAATGACAACATTATATTATAGTAAAGTTTTCTGTCAAGTCTTATAAACATATTTTGGGTCATTATAAGAAATGTAAATCACTATAGACCGACGAAAAGCCTTATAATTATAAACCTACCGACATTGTGTAAACAAATTACGTGTATTTGGAACAGTCCATTTACAGTTTTAGGGACATCAATATCAAACAACAATATGTGAGCTACCAACAGTATAAAGCCTGGTCAGACTGCACAAATGTGCAAACTGGCCTGGCTCTATATTAATGGCAAAGACTTAAATCACTTACATTGTACTTCCTGTCCCAACAGGGCAGGGATTAAGTTGTTTTTCAGTAATGGAGATAGTGGAGGTTCAAAATCACTATCATAGGGAAACACAGCAATCCAATCAATCATTTTTGATAATAACCTGTACATTAAATGACTATAGATAAAACAGCAACATTATTCTGTTTCTTTCTGAAATATCAAGAATTACACAAAATACTGAAGAATCAGTTTCATTTCTTTCCATTTTAATGGAAAATTGTGCCAAAGGAATGGGAAAAGGTACTTATTAAGATGGTAATGGACCCACTATAGTTTGTTCCAAAGGAAGTTGTGTCCAAGTATGAACACAATCATAAATAACAAATATTTAATTAATTATAGCATAAATCAAACAAATCTCAATAATTTGACCTTTAAACTAAAGGTCAAGGTCATCTATCAGTTAAGGTCAAGTTCATTATGGTTTACTTGAAAGTCTTGTTCAAATGTTTTTGTGGATATTATTAAAGTATGTTGACCGTCCATTAGAAAGTAATAAAAAAATATGACGGATGTTAAATTTTGTGGGTGGAAACATCATTTGGTATGACAACATGATTGCAACAATAGCTCAGTATTTTTCTCTGTTAAAAGCTTTAGCTAATGTAAAATATACAATTTTAATAGATAAAAAATATGTTTGTTCTTAAAGCAGCATGCCTCCAGATTCATGCTTATTTTCATGAAAATTTTTAAAATGTATTTGAAAGAAGTGAACAAAGAAAGTAATTTACACATTGCAAATGGCAGTTACAATCCACATAAATTACCAAAGAGGTCAAAATATACATAAACACTGCAAAATCAGTCATTAATAGCACATAAAATGTAAATAATTAATTAAATATTGAATCTTTTTATTTTTCTTAAGATCTTAAAACATTTTTCTAGAAATTGAATTTCTTGAAATATTTTGGCTCATATGGAGGCATGCAGCTTAAATCAAGACATTATCTTCCAGCATTTTAAAGCAAGAACACTTGATGCATGTAATAAAATGACCTAAAAAGTTTTAACTACTTTTATCAAAACACCCTGATTACTAGCTACATGTATATGGTGAATGTGAAAGTTTTACCTGTAGGGGCCGAGCCAAGTGCTGCTGATCCTATCCCTGAATATATTCCATGAAATCCACCTGCTTTCAAAAATCCTTGAGCGCTCTGTAACCGTGTTTTTACTGTATCAAGAGGAAATAATGCTATGTCTACTGAAGTACCAGCCAAACCACCTGCCTTATAAAGTAAGAAATTATTACATCAAAACTGTAATAATGTACATAGCGCAAAATATGCTTCCAGGATCATAACTGTTTCAAGAATACATGTACCAGACTGTCTTAATAAATGAACCAGATTTACTACAGATGCAAAATCTGTCTGTCTTAAGGAACCAGAACTGATGCACTACAGTAACTATTGTAGAGGACAACTAGGCAAAGCTTTATGCTATTTTTTTTAATATCTAAGCTCTAGATGTGATGAATCTTTACCAGCCCAGTGTACTTAAATTTACTATAGTGCTAATTACTATCTGATTAACAAGAAGATAAACCCATATCTGTTTTGTTTTGTTGGATAATAAATCACACTGACAATGTTCAGATCATATGGCGACTTTCCAGTTTAGAGTAGAAGCAATAATCCTCTGTAAGCTGGCTGGATTGCTGCCTCATATGAAATAGTATAAAATACAGTAACTCAATTCCAAGGGCAAGTGATTGGAAGTTTGGGGGCCTTAGTCACTCTGTCACAAAGCTCCCCCACTCCCCCCACAATTGTAACAGTAATATATGATAACAGCATTTGTGTGAGATAGCAAAGATAAAATTTTACATACCAACAGAGCCGACGTGACATAACCATGTTTATTTTCCATTTTTTCCTAGGTTAAATCTACTGCTCGTCACAGTTCACTGATCCACATAATCTAAAACAAAAAAATAACTACAACATAACTGAGTGACATTACAAAAATGAACCACCAAAGATAGACAAAATTTATATTGTACACAGAAAAGATGACTTATCTATTTTACAGATATACTAAATCATAATGACAAAGTCAGACAAACATAATTATATACATGTACAAAACTTTAAAACCGCATGTAAACCAATTGGTTTACATTTTAACATATATTCATATATACACACATAATATTATGCACAATAATACACAGCCATTAACCCATTACCCGATATACATGCTTTTAAAGCCTTTTTCACACCCCCCCCCGTTACTTTTTTGGCGCGGCCCCCAAACCAAAAAATACATCAGGGGGTTGCCAGAAGGGGGAAGTGCCCCCTGCTGTTTAGCAGGTTTGAAGGGGGACATCCCCCTCATCGCCAAGAAAATTTTGAACTTGTGAGAGGCTAAAAATGAACTCAGATTGATCATAAGGTAACGTGTAGCCAACGCTGAAAAGCATTTGACTCTAGCTCAATCCATTGAGAAGTTGCAGCACTTTTAAATCAATTTTGATGGAAAAAATCAATGCAAAATAGTGATTTTTGGCAATTTTTAGATGTCCCCTCGTTGCCATGGTAACAGGAAATTTAAGCCATTTGTGCCAAGTTCTATTAGTCTTGAAGCAGTTTTTATAGTGTTATAGCAATTTGAACTTGTAACGGGAGACTTTTCAATGTAAACAGCCATTTTTCACCATATGCTCATGAAGTAATGGGTTAAGGCTTAAGCAACTGTCAAGAATTTTTATGGTGGAAAGTGTTTTGTTGGAATATTCTATTCTATGATGTCATCAATTTTGACTGCATTCTCATGGTTGATTTCTCCTTAATTTTTATTATTTTGACGAGTTAATTTATATATAGAAATGTTTTTTGTACATTGTCTTAATTAAGATGCTGCCTGTTTAGCGAATTGATATATAGATGTTTACATTTGTTGGTTTTCCTATAGTAACAAATTAACTAATATATATAATCATTATTCCAGTATACAGCTTAATTGTAATGAATGGAATATATATAAATACACTTAAGGTAATTCATTTCCTTAAAGAAGAAAAATACGCAACTATCAACATTATCCGAGCCACCTCAAAACCTACAACACCACCAAAAGTTAAAACAATCTGCAATAAAATAAGATTCAGGATAGTACAAAACAACTCAGGACAACTTCGACTACGAAAAAAATCTAAGAAACACACAAATACAGATGATAACGAAACAATCAACATTGATGATATTACTATGAACATTCCAGCGCCTATCTCACCCCTACCATCGACACCAGTAAATACACGTTCACCAGATGCAGTAGCCAGTACATCATCAACTTCTACAGTATGCCTGGATGAAACATTGATGTTTAGTGACACTAATGAACAAATTATTTGCGTATCATCCATCTATTGAACATTCCAAAAATAAGAGAACACGTAACTCAGAAAAAACTATGGTATCTTTAATAATTTGATTATTATATACTGTATATACACAATTAACAACATTCTGGCACTTAGCCAACTTTCTATTTTTAGAAATTTTTGATACTATTTTTGGTAAGTCATGTGACTTACCATCCTATACATTTTCAACACTTCAGACCCAAAATTCTGTTAATTTTTTATCCTGATGAAGACCTCACGGTAGGTCGAAACCGGATATAAACATCCCTGGTGTTGACGTGTAATTTTCTTTCTATTTACCTTATTTTAAGGTAATTCTGTCAAGTTTATTAATATCAGCGAAAAAGGAAAATATGTTTTACATATGAGAATTTTATTCAATCCATTCCCACTGTCTTACACTACCTATTTTATACTTATAATTGCATGGCTAAATGTAAATACTAATCTGTTCAATAATAAAATGCTTAATTATATGACATGTTCAGCATGACATTGATATCAAAAGATAACAAAATAAATTTACATAGATTTCTCAGAGTCTTAACGTATTTAAATGTTTTTTTAAAAAAATTGGAACGATATTGGAAATTTGTCATTGAGCAGGTCAAATTATATTCCATGTAAGTCGACATTCCAAACAAGCGCAACACTTATTTTAAAATGTTTACAATTAATTTACATGTATATCAAAGTAAGCCTTATCGGTAAAAGTGACCTTTAAACAATGTAAAATATAAATTACTTGCAAATTTTTTTAATTTTACTGTCATCAGATTGACATAACTAGAATTTATTACCAAATTCCTGTCAGATAGGACTCCCTGCTCAGAAAAATCATGTGTCCAAAAGATGTACATTATTTGAAACTTTGCGTCCACAGTAAATTCATTGCGTTCTGGCTGCAGGACGCAGAGGTAAAAAAATCACTGCTTAAGCAAGAAAATGTTTTGCGGGGATTTTAGGGTCATGCACATGAAATATTAGTGAACACATTCATACAACCTTTCAACTCACAGTGACCTCTCTTACGAAACAGACTATACAATAACATTACTATAGTTAGGCAAACAAACGACGACACAACAGTTAGGCAAATACCAACCAAATACAACATAACACGGAGGATACAATATACCAGTGATAAAAAGAAAACGATACACAGGTTACATCAAAATACCATGATGCGTGACAGAATTAATGGCCAGATAAGAATTCTCTACCTGCTGACCTCTAAGTGTGACCTTGACCCTGAGCCAGGGATTTAAGTCTTGCACATGACACACTGTCTCATCATGGACATGCTACACATTTATGCCAAGTTATTTCAAAATCCCATGATGCATGATTATTTTAAAGGGTTGAAATTGAAAATTATACAACATTGTGCTAAGTTATTTCAAAATCCCTTGATGTATGACAGAGTAATGGACCGGTAAAAGTCTTTGACTGCTGACCTTTGACCCTAACCTTGAAGCTTGAGGTAAAGCTCTTGCGCATGACACACAGTCTCATCATGCTTAACATTTATGCCAAGTTGTTTCGAAAACCTTGAATTGATGCATGACACAATTATGGGTCCGACAAGATTTTCTAACTGCTAACCTTTGACCTGTAAGTGTGACCTTGATCTTTGAGTAAAGGTCTTATTAGCAAGACAGAGTGATGATAGAGTTATGGGCCAGACAGGGTTCTGAAGTCATGCACCATGGCACAGGAGGACGTATTAGGGTAACACTATATAACCTGTTGCTATTACCTTGGTTGGTCATAATGACCACAAATTAAATAGAGTTTTCTTACAGGCCAATGTCAGTCAGGGTTTCATAAACTTATTTATAAAGCTAATGTTTTTTTTTTCCAAATTGTTTTACTTAAAGGGACTCCACTGAGGTTTAAAAGCCTAAAAACATAACATTTGAATTTCTTATATAAATGAGCTTGGGCACTTTAAACAGAAATATACATGTATGCAAAGATAGTTAAGAAATATACTTTGAAATAAATTGAAAATCTATTTTTATGCTTTTCTTAGACCGATTTGAGTGAAAAGCGTTTAAACTTTTTACAATTTGAATAATTATTCTGGAAAAACGAAGTGCACGAATGATCTGAAATTTTGCACAAAGATTAGTGGTCTAATCTTTACATCAAATGGTACATTTATCTGGAAAAAATATTTTCAGTCACATCATGTCAAAAAACCTCAGTGCAGTGTAACGTTTCGACATTTTTATTTAGCTTTGTTTTGATTAAAGTTAATCAAATTACTCAAATGATATAAGTGTTACTTAACTATCATGTTATTTGTTTATTTTGCGACAATATATTTTAGTTTACGGAACTTTACAATATACGTTTGGTATACGTATGTTCAATGAACGTTTGAAATCATATAATATAATAATCGTCTCAATGATTATGATCATTCTAATCAGCCAATGAAAATTAAGTCATGCTTGAGCGATTATCTCAGCAGGTATAAATACGGCGATTAGAGAGAATTATTCAGTCTGCAGAGGTATTCACCGGGACCAGGTTACTTTATGTAATTGAAGCCTCGCTTCATACATAGAGGATATTTTCGTCTACCTAACTGAAGCCTAGCTTCATAGGTAGAAAAGAAGAATTGGCCAAAACTAAATACTCTTGTTTATCCAATTGAAGCCTAGCTTCATGGATGTAGATGTAATATATTAAAGTTTGTGAATTGCATTTGACTCTGGGTACTTATAGATCTCCACATTTTCTGAAAGCCTCGCTATCAGGGAATTGGTAACATATAGGTATTAAAAATCCAGAGGTAGATTTAAAACGAATTAGATTTGTATAGTTGGAACTTTGTTATAAATCCCTACCAGCAGCTTATCTTCCTATCTAATAGAAGCCTCGCTTCATAGATAGGGAGGTAGTTGCTGGACTATAGGAAATTATCGAGTTGCAGCGTGATATCTATAGATTTTGAATTATTTCATAGTGTTATTTTGTAAATGTGACTTTTGAGAATTTAATAGTGTATTACGGAATGTTAATTCAAGCTGATTGTTTATAATATTTGATCATTTAAAAATCATTTGTATCTAATCAAACGGCAGGTAGCCCAAAGAAAAATTAATAATATATTTGTGTACATCCGCTCGGTACACGTTACAAAAATTGGTGGCAGCGGTGGGATCATATAGATAAAAACACCATTATCTGGCCCCACATATTAAAATAGATATTTGTTAAAAATGGCTGAGAGTAAAGATTTTAGTAATAGCAATGAGCTTATTTTGTTACACGAAAAACTCAGAGATTTGCAGCACCAAAATGAAGCTTTGAAACTGCAAAATGAAATATCAATACTTGAAAGACAGATTGACAGTATGCAGTTATCTTTTCAAAATCAATATGACTCAAACTATGAAGACAAACAAACGTCAACACCGAAATTTTTAACAAGACAATATGCAGCACCTCTATCAGAAAGAAGGCGACGGTTATTACCACCGACTCCAGATAAAAAGCCCTTTAAAATAGAACGTGACCCTATAAACTCAAATTCAAAACG